AAAGAAAGAAAGAAATATTTCTTGCGCGTGGTGTGCAAGAACTATGTCGACAAGATTGGTAATGTCGTTTTTGAAAAAGCTCTCGTTTGTGGTTGTATAAGCTCTTAAAGATGCAATAAGGCAAGCAATTTGTAAAGCAATAAATAATATTATTTTAAATTTGTTTGCATTTTAATTGATTTGTCATATATTATAGAATCCTAATTTGAATACAAAACATATATAATATTGCGCAAATCAGTAAAAATTAATTAATTGTAAGTAATGAAAATTAATCCGTCTGGAAAAATCAGAATTTTTACCTGGAATGTTCTGAAATTATTCTTGAATTGGCTAGCCAAATATCGCTGGACACCATAATATCATTTGTGTGCGTAAATTATCAGAAAACCAAACTAAAAGATTATCGCGATGATTCACAGTGTCGCGCGACGTTCATAAGCTAACGGATTCAGAGAACAAGCGACGAAATAAGCGGTTCGGAATGAATGAATGATCGAAAATTGCCGTCTAACGGTATACGCTCTAGTTCATTGCTCCTTGATGTCTAGAGATGCTGGTGCTCCGCAATTTGGCGTGTGAATTTGCAGAGTTTCCGATCGTAATGACTCATTCGCTAGCAATGGAATAATATGTTAGATAATTAAAAATGAAAATTACCGCCATTCGAATTCAATTGAAAACGATTCCTAATTAAATTTCAAGTATCCTTGAACGAATGAACGCAAGGAAAGATGACCACTCAATCTCAGTCAATTGAAAAATCGTAATCTACTAATCGTAAGCATTTAAGTATAATTTCGCTGGCTTATTTACGATTAATAATGGTTCCATCGAAACTTTTTCCGAGGCGAAGCGCTTTGGTCTCACATGACAAATATGAAATATGTTGTATTTATATATATATTTCGCATATGTCAAATTGTCTCACGAATAATGTAGAAATAAGCAAAATCTTGTCCAAATGATAATTTATTCGACTAATCGGTTGTTTGAACTTTGAATTTTTTTTCTAGATAATTTTTGTATATTATTTGAACAATTTTTTTCTGGTTATCTATTATGATATGATTATTTTTCTACGAATGACAAATACATAAATTTTATTTCATTGTAAATTAATAGCAAATGTTTTACTCTTCAACGTAGTATATATGTACAAATTTTTATTTCATTATTAAAAAATTATATATATATATATATATATATATATATATATTTGTATATAAATATTATTTGAGGAAAATTAGTAAAGACAAAAGAGAAGATAGAACAACTGTGAAAATACATTGCATATAATATTTGTAGTTCTTTCATTTTTTTAAAGAAAAATAAAATTGGGAATAAGAGATTCGTGTTCTTTCTGACAAAAATCTAGAAGTATCCGCCGCAGGCGTTAACACCTACGTATCTTTTTTCTCGTTTAATTTTCTAGCTGAATTCAACCAACCAGAGTTTTTCGATGCTCTGCATTTTCTATACTGCTACTCGCGGTTGGACAATCGGCGAAAAGTTTGACACGTTTTATACGGAGGTGTTTGATGAGAAATCTACCTGCTTCGTTCTGTCGATCAATTGCTATGCTTTTAACAAGCCATAAACAACTCGATATCGCGACCTACGCGATGACGGTGTAGATAAAATCGTGTGATCGTCGATATCCCTGACTTTGAATTCGTTGTCGATCTATACTATCCGGTCGTACCCCCTTCAATTTTTCAACGGAAAGAAATCAAGGACACGCGCGGTCGATAATCTAAAAAAAACATGAAAGAGTATAGCGGGTGTTCGCACGCTTGAGTTTACTTACGCGACGAGCGATAGGAATGTGATTACATCGTCAAACAATCGATACAGACTTACGTCTAATCATCGAATATTACTCGATGTATGCTCGTCTAACGCAATTTCCACGATGCCATGATATTTCTTGGAGGATACTTTTACATCTCGGATACGAGAAACTGCAGCAGCTGTGAGAATTACGCACGATGTATCCAAAATTTATTTTCTTATCTATTTTTTCTCTCACGAGCAATAATGGAGAACATAATAATATTATATATACGTAATAAAATTTATAAACGCGAAATAATATTGATTGAAAAAAATCACAAAAAATTTATTAAGTCTGAATAACTATTCACAGGCGTATACTATATTCGATATGTACATACGAATCGAATTTACCATAGATTGACTTTGTTATTCATCAGCGAAGATTAAATGCGGCCTTAAATTTCTCAGCAGCGCGTCAAATTTACATAATCATAAGGCTTTGGAGCATGTAATGGAGAGAATGACGGATTATCTAATAGAAAAGTGAAAGATCGAACCTCTTTCTTCTTTTCTCATTCTATTGGCACAGACTGTTGGTTGCAACATGTGTACGATATAAGTAAAGTCTGCTGAACGGTATCTGGAAGCGTAGAAACTTATGCCATTTTTTTTTGAGTGAGATTCATTTGATCGCTTTTCGTAGGTCCGATGATACGACCTCATATGATGCACAATAGATATATCGCGTATATAGTTACAGTTATTCTCTAGTTATCTCCGCTATAATAAAGCGATGATAAAGCAAATTTTTCTGATAGCAGCACCGTTTGCACTATTGTTGAACGGCTCTGACCTTTGCGAAAATGGATTCGTTGAACCGTGTTGAAATCTTGTGATATCAATTCGATTGTATAGTACGTCTTTATAATGCTCGCTCGAATCATCTTTGTTACCGTGTGCCTCTTTACCAGGAGTCTTTCTCCAGGAACGTATCGACTATCTGATTGTCAATAAGTATATAGAAAAAAAGAGCAGTTTCTCTCGAAGTAGTCGAGACAGCGCTTTATCGTCGCTTATCACGCGTATAACTACCTGCGAATAAGTATATTATGTAATATAAATATAATTAATTTCCATTACAGCTAACAATGTCACCGGTAAACTCGTAATATTCGAAGCAACGTAGGAGGGACGAAAGAAGAAGAGATAGATGAAAAAGAGATGGCGTCCACCAGTGGGCACAAGAGAAATGGCTCCAGCTCGAGCATGTTTGCGCATAAACGCACCGAATCGGGGGGTGGTTTCGTTGGTTACAAGCGACCTGAGAGCGGTCACAAACGTGCCGAGAGTATATCTAGTGCCTTCGGCCACAAACGATCCGAGAGTGGCCACAAGAGGAACGAGAGCAGCGGCGGTTTTGGTCACAAGAGGTCCGAGTCTGGCAGCAATTATCATGCCGGACATCGGCGTAATGAAAGTATGTACGCGATGACGGGCCTCTACGCGGAAAGCGCCGGCACTGGTACCGACGATAATGCGGATCCGCTGCAGGCGACCGCCGGTAGACTGACCCACGACACCGTCATAAGGTGCCACAGTAGAAATCCGAGTTCCGGCCTTGTGGATCATAGGTAAGCGGAACAATACGGCTTTGCTGTCATTCAAATTTCAAACAAGACAAAAAAAAAAGATAATGTGAAAAATGTAAAAAGATTATGTAACTCCGTTTACAGACGGCCCTCGTTCAATCCTCACCCTTTCTACGATTATTCTTTTTATTTTTATAGAGAGCACGAGATTTCTCTCTTTTTTTCTTTCTTTCTACTATGCCTTAATTTTTTCTCGACAAATAATTCATTCAACGTTAACGTTTTCATTATAATCATTCACAAATGGTTCCATTACTCTAATATTAAGGAAAATATATCGTTCTGTCCCGCGAGTCTGACGTTTCGAGTCAATTATTTTTGCACTTATTATCCTGTGCTTCTCGGTGCCAATATTCGCTCGTGCAAAATGTACTTTGCGTTTGTCTCGATAAAGCTTCGCTGAAATGGCACGTCGCAAATGTGACAAAATTGCGATTATGAGAACGCGAAAGAACAGCTAGTATAGAAGTAGAAAGTGAGAGCACGTGATGACCATGACACATTTTGCCTTGCATCAAATAGATTTAAACCTTGCCTTATCTTTTTTCTAATTATTATCTCAGCGTTCTTTTCATTCGCTTTGCAATAAATTTTCGTCGGAGAAATCTTCTAAAAGTTTGTTTTAACAAGTATAATGAAAATATATACACGCTGTATAGCCATTTTAATAACGACGTAGCTTCGAAATATATTTTTAACATCTGAAACGAAAAAAGACTACAAGCGCAAATAGCGTACTTTTGTCACTTTGTGTAATTTAAGAGATATGATGCTTTAATTACTTTATTTTGTCAGATAATTTAACTTTACGCCATCAGAATCATACAGCACACTATATTCATGCTTTGTTTTCCTATTATTTTCTATTATTAGTTTCTATTATTTTTCAGAGATTTTATCATCAAATGTCACAGCAGGAATCCCAGTGCTTCTATGGTCGACAGGTAAAGTTTGTACCATTATTTTATTTTATGTATATATATATATTGTAATTATCATTATCTATTTTTACACGGCATATTTGTTTCAAAGAAACTGTCAGCTTTATATTAAACGTGAAGAAAACTTTTTTTTCTCAGTGTGGTCAATGCGATACATCGTCGTTTGCATAGATCGCATTATAATCTTCTTCTGTCATTCGTCGCGCGTGATTCAGTTTTTCTTTCCGAACTTAATCTTTATCTCTCGTAATTACTCATTGTTTTTGCTTTGTTCTTACTTTGTTCTTACGTTCAATTGTTCATTGTTTGATCTCCTTGAGTATTCAGGGCGGAGAAGGAGAGGGCGCAAACTCCGCCGTTTAATCCAGACTCCAAGGACTGTGGGATTCTGAGTTGTAGACCGGTCTTTATTCAAAGATTTGCCGGAATAAAGGTACATTACAAATACCTTGCACAGCCCTCCCCCCCCCAACCATTCAGAAATATAATATCATTGAACAAAGAATATCAGGAAGGAGCATATTGCAATATTACTAGATTGCGATATTAGTTTTATGACGTATAATGAGACGTCACAAAAGAGCTTATTACGGTTCCCGGTTCTGTTTTTAAAGAAACAGTGATAAAGAAGTAATCTATTCGACAGATGTAACGATATATATGATACATCCATTGTAAAACTTGGTTCGACCCATAAATATCAGTAATCTTATTTGGTTCACTTTTATGACGTCACATAAAAAACGCGACATGTTCCTTTCTGGTATTCTTTATTCAATGTATAATATACTATATATATATATATATATATATATATATATACACTATATATACATCACTCATAAAAAATAATGTATTACGTGAACAAATCTCGAAGCGATACATGAAAGCATTCTTATATCAAGCGGTGAGCAAATGATATACGGTGTATGCAGATATACAAAGTAGGTCTTGTGTGATTCATCATGCGCGTTCAAAAGGGGGGGGGAGAGAGAGAGAGAGAGAGAGAGAGAGAGATTCAATTATAAGTTATCAATACATTAGTATTTTGTGCAAATATATTGTGTATGCATCACTTGATTTGGGTGCGGAATAAAAATATTTATAACTGCTGCAACAGCTTTAAACTGTCATGAAAACGTACATATACATGTGTGAAAATTGTAATTCTTCAAATTTTAAACATTAGATTTAAGGGGATACACACTGGAGTCTCCGAAACCCCAGCGCAACTTGCTAAATTGAGATTTTCTCGCGTTTCTGGATTGAAAAAAAATTCGTATATCTTGGATCTTTTTAATTCTATCGATTTTTATAAATTACGAGCCTGTTTCTTGATTGCTTCTCGATCGGTTGAGAAAAAAAAATTAATTGAAATATGTCCATTTTCGCTGCAGTTATGATAACAAACATGGATAGGATCCCCGGAACTTCAGTGTGTATTTTGTGTAGGCAAAAAAGAGTGTGTATACCTAAAATTAAAATACAACTACTTATTTACTGCGAATGTATTCTTTTATGCAATCTTTAGATATTGCAACATATATATATATAATAATATAAAATTAAATTAAACCTATAATACTCGTGTCATAAATGCATATGATGATTTCAGGTGTTCGTATTTCTTCTATCGTTTCTTGTTACGTTACAACAAGCGCTTAGCTCAGGTTACATCAATTCTGTGATAACAACCATAGAGAAAAGGTTTGAGATCCCGTCCAGTCTTTCGGGCCTCATTGCAAGTTCTTACGAAATCGGCAATGTTATCACTGTCATTTTCGTCAGTTATCTCGGCAGTCGCAGGCACATACCCGTGTGGATAGCGATAGGTATAATAATTTTTTTATTCAAAGACCAATATTTCGTGTTTCGCATTTTTTTTTTCCATTTTCTTGCTACACACATTTGATGCTAGTTGATTGTAAATGTCGATTTTACTGGATCATATATTTTACGATTTAGGAGCAGTGATAATGGGACTGGGATCGATGATCTTTATGGTGCCACATTTCACAGCAGAGCCCAACTTGACGACAACTGCGAATCATTCCAATTCGGATAATATCTGCCGCGGAGTATCCTTACGCGAACAAGACATGGGTTTAGGTAAGTAGCTACCATTTCAGCTGTTTTAGCTGAAATATTGATAATAAATTTTAGTATATATAAAAGAAGAGTTAAAAAAGAGAAAAGTTATCAACTTGAAAATTTGTCTACAGGTCGGCTTTCATCAGGGTTATCTTCACCTCCCTTAGCACCCCATAACAATTTAAGAGGTGATAATTGTATACAGGGATCTCCGTCGACAGCCGGACCTGTCATGTTATTTGTACTTGCTCAGTTACTACTAGGATGCGGTGGCTCTCCTTTATTTACTCTTGGTACTACTTACATAGACGATCACGTGAGACCAGAAAGTGCGTCTTTATATATTGGTAAGTGATTTTGTTCGTTACGTTAGATATCATAAAATGTGATACATACGGATAGTCATTCAAGATTTTTACTTAATTTTTTCAGGTTGTATGTATAGTATGGCGGCCTTTGGACCAGTTTTAGGTTTTCTTCTTGGAGCGTATCTTTTGTCCTTTCATATGGACTCATTTTCTGGGACGATTATAAGTATCGGTAAGAAAAAGGTTTTTTTTATATTCTCCTGTATTATTATTATTTTTTAATGTATCATTAAATTTTTATCGAATTTGTATAAATTCACAAATTCCCTCGTTAAATTGAAACAGATCCTGGAGATCATAGGTGGGTTGGTATGTGGTGGGGCGGATTCCTACTTTGTGGATTGCTCCTTATTCTAGTAGCAATACCCTTCTTCAGTTTTCCTAAAACTCTACAACGCGAAAAGGAAAAGATACGAATTATAGAAAAGAATAAACCAATAACGCAGAAAGAAAAGGAGCAATCGAAAGAACCTAAGAAAGATATGATCGATGATAGCGGTTATGGCAAGGATGTCAAAGGTAAATTTTCTTTGTATTTATCTCAATATTCAAAACAACGTATTGTCAATGTCATGTTATTTTTCTTACAATAGATTTTTCTTACCACAGATATTCCTCGAAGTATGTGGAGACTCGTTTGCAATCCAGTCTACGTTGTAACATGTTTGGGAGCATGCATGGAGTTGGTGATTGTATCTGGTTTTGTGGTATTTCTGCCCAAATATCTCGAAACACAATTCAGCCTGGGAAAAAGTCAAGCCAGTATCTTCACTGGCTCTGTCGCTATACCAGGCGCTTGTATCGGAATTTTCTTTGGCGGATGTATGCTCAAACGTTTAGAACTAAGGCCGAAGGGTGCTGTGCAATTTGTCCTCGTCTCAAATATAATTTGTCTGGTGTGTTACGGTCTGTTATTCTTCCTCGGCTGCGAAAACGTAAAAATGGCTGGGACCACTATTCCATACTTTAACAGTAGTACGAAGGGTCCTGAACCCTTTCAAGTAAATCTCACTGCCGCATGCAACTTTGGTTGTGAATGCCGAATGACGGATGTCGAGCCAGTTTGCGGAAATAATGGTCTGACTTATTTTAGTCCGTGTCACGCAGGTTGCACTGCCTTCAGTTCCAAATCAAATTTTACAAATTGCGCATGTAAGTCTCGCTATATATATCGATGCAATATTTTCAATATTACTTGAGTTGAGGAAAGGAAGTTTTATAATATATTTATTGTCCTAGGTATACATGGCAATTTAACTGGTATGCTACCACCGGCTGCTCCGGAATTTGCAGAAGTGACCGTTGTGCCAGTAGCAACTGCAGGTCCTTGTACTTCACCATGTAGAACTATATTTCCATTTCTAATTCTTTTGTTCTTTATGACATTTATTGTCGCTGTGACTCAAATGCCTTTGCTCATGATAGTATTACGGTAAGTAAGCACCTTTATACGGTATTTACTTTTACAAGTATGTACGCGCGCGCGTACATACATGTATGTACATACTGTACATACATTGTATACACTAAATTAACTATTAATAATTCACTATTATAGGTCCGTTTCTGAAGAAGAAAGATCTTTTGCTTTGGGTATGCAGTTTGTAATTTTTCGACTATTTGGCTATATACCAGCACCAATACTATTTGGTAATTTGATTGATTCTACATGTTTGCTATGGAAGAGCACTTGTGGAGAAAAGGGAGGTCGATGTTTACTCTACGATATTGAACAATTTAGATACAGGTTGGCCCCTTAATATATATAACATATATATATATATATATATATATATATATATATATATCTTGTTTAAAACGCTTATTTCCTTTTTTATATGAATAATTTTTGTTGCGTGACTATTTTAGATATGTCGGCCTATGTGCTGGTATAAAAATTTTAGCTTTGGCGTTATTTTTGATTGACTGGTGGCTCGTAAGAAGAAGAAGACAAATGGAAGATCAACCGCCATCTTTCACTGTCAACGAGTTTGTAGGGTCAATTATCAGTCTAGATAAATGTAAGTAATAAGAGTAATTATATTTATATTTTAAATTGTTGATGTAACGATAATGCACGCTGTTATGTGTACATATCGTAGTGTTTGAAGAGAAACCACATCAGAATTTAGGGGATGGCGATGCGACGCTGCCGAGTTCCGAGATTGCAACGCCATCCTCTATTTCGTCGCCTACAGAACCTACCAAGTCAACGAATCTCGAGGAAACAGGGTCTTCGAATCAAACGCAAGATTCAATGGAGACGACAAATCGCTCAAAAAATATGGAAGCTGAAGTTTCCGATATGAGGCAAGCGCCACTTGCCTTACAAGAGCCAGACGTCGAGATCAAACTTTCAAGTGGTATGACAGAAAATCATAATCGCATTGTTTAATGTTTATTTTATATTAGAAACTGTAGAAGTAAATATATCAAATTGATCATATATAAATTTGTGACAAATTATATATACATACTCGCTGGATGGATTATATTTGAAAATATAATACAGACTCACATATCCACACATGTCGTTTATCATACATACATCGTTTGTCTCTTTTATGTTTAAGGGGGGGGGGGGAAGAAAATGCAGTATAATATCTATAGAAAAAAAAAATGATAATTTTCTAAGATATTAAACATGCTAAAGAATGTAAAGATCATTGATTTCATTATGTTCTTTTTCTTTTTCTGTTGTATGATACATTGTGGTCATGTGTACGTACATAACTGTTATTTATTATCCAAGATAACTTGTCACAAATTTAATTATTTACTAAGTTGATTAGTTTTACTTTTAGCAAAAATATCACTGAAACGTAAATTTTTACAGCAATCATGTACATGTCAATAAGTAGATAAGTAATGCATAAATGTAGTTTATTTCAGACGTACAATCCGAGATTGTATTACTCATGGCACATTTAGATTTGTATTGTTGCTATGTATATCATTAACGAGGATAGATTATATACAAGAAAGATAAATATGCAACGCGAATAAATTTCTATCGTCCGAATGGAATCACGACAAAGTATAAGCCTTGCGCTATTGCAAGAAAAGGCCAATGTAACGATGAATGATTGTAAATATGAAAATTCCTGCCTTAAGAAATACAAGACTAGACAAATGTATATTTGAAAATGTAAACTAATTGTAAGTATCAGAATTAACGATTTATATAATATCATTAGTACCGAGCGAAAAAAAAATTACGATTTATTTTATAACTAAAGAAAAGATAGGTTTCTCGAAACAAATAGTCAATTTAGTATATAGTAAGATACCTATTAAAAATGATGAAGATGAATATAACAAATTGTGAGTAATCTCTATCATACAGTAACGCATTGATTCGTATTTTGTATTTTTCTGTAAGTAGATGCAACCGTAAAAATTGCGCATCCGTAAGTCGCAAATGATCTCTTATTTCCCGTTTCCTTTTTCATTCTTCGTTTTCAATTTAGTTCAACTTATTCCATAAGCTTTCAATAGAAGATTCTTAGAAAGTAATACTTCAGGAAACTCATAAGTCGCTATATGTACGTATATCTATCCTACTATGAGATGCAGACGAGATGCTTCCAGGCAACGAAACCTTTAGTTGTACGCAGTGGCTCGATAAATCAATCAAATAATTGACTTTAATATTGTTTTATTTCAAACAAATTTTGGCTTTACGCACAAAGCTGACTCTATATAAAGAATCTATTTGCTTTGTACCTGAAAGCCTCTTGAAAAATCAATTTCGATGTAAAAAGGAATATAGAATTACTCAGGAATGAAATTCTGTAGAGGCAATTTTAATTTAACTGATAAAAATTCGGAGATAGAAATATATATTATTGTTAAGGTATGATTTTATGCTGACGCTAAAAATGAGTGTCGAGCGTCAGCATGAAAAGATACCTTAAAATAAGATTATAGAGCATATAAAGAAAAAACGTAAGCTTTGTGTTTGTTTTATTGCACTTGTATCCATTTCTAAAACATTTGAGAGAGTACTGCGCGATAAATAAACTATATTAGAAACAATTTATATACAATTGCTTTCTGTGCTTTATGTTCGCTGGTCAGTTGGGATACTTATCTATTCGTAGCTATTCGTATCTATTCGCTTCAATAATAGGGTACTAAATAGATTTGCATATACCTTTAGAAGAATAGTTTTAGTTTCACATAGTTTTATTATGTTTTTCTCCCCGTTTGGCTCGCCACTGTCAATTTTTCAAATTATTATATGATGCAATACGCTATATTTTAGAGGGATATTTCGAAATAAATATGTATACTTCATCAAAGTCGACCGTTCGCACTAGTTTTGAGAGAGCGCTATGGTCTCTCCGTAACACATATTGATATATTAACTAAATAATTGTGTGTGTGTGTGTGTGTGTGTGTG